GGGCCCCCCCTTCCCCCCCCCCCCCCCCCCCGACTCCCCCCTCGTCGTCACCTGTACGAATCTAAGCAGGCGAGGCTCAGAGGAGTCCAAGTCTATCCGCATCTCGAACCACGGGTCCTTTCCGTGCACGACCGGACTGAGGCCCTCGAGGGTGAACCCGCAGGAGGCGTACATGCCCAGCAGTCCTGCCTTCGCGATGAGGCAGACGCGCCGGACTCCCGGCTGGGTCAGGGCGACGCTCTCCACGTACGCCTTCAACCGTGTACCATCATCGTGTGGTGAAAAAAGAAGCAAGAAGGGTTTCCCAGCAGTACGGGGGAGCGGGGTTTTTTAGGGCGGGGTCACAAATTCTCCGACTATTCTACGTGTGTGTGTGTGCGTTAACGAGCGGCGGCACGCCGGCAAACCTGGCGAAGCAGCAGCACAATGCAACCTCTGGCCCCCGCCCTCGCACTTTCTGTTTCCCCCGCCCTCGCATTTTCTAGTTGCCCTCAGTGATCCAAATTCCGGCGAGACACCTCCCCCCCGGTTCACATGAACTGCAAAATCTGTTCTAGGCCTTAGTACAACTCCTAAGGTTCGATTTACGCCGCCGCTGCCGCACCGGCCGGGGAACGCGCGCCCCTGTTGCAGTTTTGGGGGTGAGGCTTGCCCTTGATTGAGCAGACGGAACTGAAACCGTCAGTATTCAACCAGTTTTGGTGTCCAGCAGTTGAATGTCCTACCTATTGTCGACACTCGCTTGTGTTGGCAACCGGAATTTTTTCACCAGACCATTTTTCGTGATTCCGGACGAACCGTGCACCTACACTTCCCCCGCGTTTTATCCGGGGCACCACGCCTCCGTACTTAAAAACCCTTAAGCCCTTGTGTGCGTCAAGTTGAACGGGACCGGATGCCTGGCACGATCTAACATCTCCGCTACGCTTACTGCTGCGGTACCGCACCGGGAGAGCAGAACCCTCTCAACCCTTAATCCTTACCCTTACCTTGAGCATCTCCGTTGCGTACCCCCTCCGGCGGAAATTTTCCGCGACGACGACTGAGTGGATGCACAGAGTCTGCCCGCTCGGGTCGTGCAGGTGCATGGACTCGTGAGACAGCTCTTCCCCCTGGCTACAGGTGCCGCACACGAAACCGACCAGTTCCCCCGCGTCGCCGCCGCCGCCGCCGCCGCCCTCTCCCTGGGGATGAACAAACGCGCGTTTGCCGCTGGGGATTGAGGGTTAGGTGTAGTCATGGTCGTGCATACCGTAGTGTCGTTAGACCATCGACCTCGCATCTCTGCAAAGCCGGGACGGAGCACGCCGGGGTTTCACTGGACCAAGCTAGCACATCAGCGCTGTGAGGTATTCAGCGAGTCGCGTGGAGGATGGGGGGAGTTTATCCATCGTTGCTTGAACCAGGCCCTACTGAAGACAACGAGTTTCAAGCGCCGCTGAGGAATAGGGGATAGCAAGGAGGGAAATTTTGTGGTGGCAAGGTTGGGTGGCAGCACCTTGGCATCGGCCATATATGCATCACTCCTCCAACATGCCCGATGTACTTGGGAATCTAACGTTCAATCTGTTGTGTGCCGTCGTGTTTTTCCCCCCCGACAGCATCTGCACTTGCATGCCAGCCTCTCCGGTTGCCCTGCCCAACACGACCACGAAAACAAAACCGTACGCTCTGCCTCCAAATCCCATTCGCCAGACAGCGATGCCGGTTTTCAATAACCTACTGCATCGCCCTGATCACTTCTCGCCACTCGTGTTTCCCACCTCCCGTCGGGCATGCAGTACACGGTTACAAAAGCTCGAACGGCATCGCTGATACCTCTCGCCGACTGGATCACTTATAGGGGGGAACCAATCAGTGATGAGCAAAAGTGTACATGCCGTCAAAGGCGCGTGTGTGTATCTTTTGCACCCGATACTCACGGCAGTCTTTAGAGTAGCCTCGAGGAAGAAGTCGCCGGCGTTGGCACGGCGGAAGCGCATGTTCTCTGGGCTAGCGGCTTCGTCTTCGGGATAAGACGCCGTTTCGAGCTCCACCGCCTTCGGGAGATTGGCTTCGGAAAGCCCCCGAACCTGTGCGTTGTGCGGGGTTTTACGCGTGTTTGTCACCCGGTGTGGGGTTCGATCTGCTGGAACGTTACCTTCACCGAAAATATGGATCAAACTTTCTGAAGAGCACTAACCCCTTTTTTTGTCAAGCACAGCCTACCGCAAGATTGCGAGCCATCGCACGGTCTGGGGTCAGCGCACATTCCGGCAGTCATCGCACCACCGTCCGTGCGATCAGAATAAAACGGCCGGTACGTGTTTTCATTCGGTTTCTGCACAGGGTCCGGAGTCATCACACAGGGGTGGTTGAGTGCCAACGATTCCGGGGCAACTTTTTCCCCTGTAGCCATGCCGGTGCTGGCATGTTAGCTCCGCTGTACCACAAAATATGGCATCGTCGCATACCACATGTATGCGGAGATGCGGAGGTATGGAGGAGATCAAAAACAATGGTGATTTCCATTGATATTTTGATGTTTTCATTGAGACGGTTGACTTTCTTGTCTACTCCATCAAAACACGAGCAAGAAACCAGCAGCCACAAGCTTGGCTACTACCCTCTAACATGATTGCCAAGGTGGCTGCTGTGTGTCGCGTGTGCGCACAACTCGACGGCGGATAATTTTGTTTTCCCGCCAGCGGGATTTCATATTTCGCCGCGTTTCATTTCGCCGCTTAGACTGTATTTGGTTTGTGCGTGTGTCTTTTCTCAAATATGATCCACCGCGCTAACTGGTTGAGTGATGGGCCTGTTGATCCTGCTGCAACCGCAGCACAACCGAGGTATCCGTAGTTCCGCAAATGTCTACTCGAGTACCGCACATACCGGATTTATCGCACAGGGGTGCGCGTCAAACACTTAAACCAATTGATTCACTTCGATGTCCGCACAGGGTCCGGAGCCATCGCACAGAAGTCCGGAGTCATTGCACCCCTTTGCGATGAAAATGAGATGGCGAAAACGTCCAAAAAAACGACCTTCTTTGTGGGTGCGATGACTCGCAATCTTACGGCATGTTGCCCACGAGGTGCTGAGCTTCTGCGTACAACCTACGACATGGCAACGGCTAATGCCTAAGGAAACACGCACCTCAAGGCCTTTGCTCTCCAGCGCAGCCAACGTCTCTGGGCTGAATGGCGGATCTGAGGTAAGCAGCAAACAGCAGCAGCAGCAGCAGCAGCAGTCGTTGATCACGGGACAGATCAAGAGAGTCACTGGAGAACGATAGAACCCAGCGGTACTCTGAAGGTCTTGGCCGTGTTCGGTTACGGGGAGTTTCTTCGGCGCAAGAGGAAAGAGGCTATCGCGTGGAACGGCAGCAGTGATCGACATCATCATGGGCGGCAGAGGGCGGGCGCATCACGCGCACACAGATCCATAGCAGCTCTGCGACTGTAGGTACAGCTGCGTACCGGCGACAGGGTGCGCGGTGGTAAGCGGGTTATTGTAGCTGGGGCGCACTCCGATAGTCTCCCGGCCGGCAATCATGTTGGTTGCACACCATATTGCCCGGGCAAGGGACACTGTTGCCAGTCTAGTGTAGTTGCTAGCAAAGGCAGCGAGGTGCGCCGTCTACAGCAGGCAATGGAGCAGGGAGCAAACGACGCAACGCAGCGACAACGAGACCACAACAGCAGCAGCGCAGAAGTACCTGTGGGGGACGTGTAGGTCGGACCCGACATGACGACGGCTGTTCGGATGCTACTCCTGCGCTCGCTGCTGCTGGTTCGTCCTCGGGATAAGGTGGGTTCCGAGGGAACCAGCAAGCTGGTTGCAAAGGTCGACAGCAGGAGAACCAACCACAGCGACACCGCGCGGAGCGAGGCAGGATCCATGTGGCTACCAGGAAATGCGGCCAAATTCGGCTGCTGAGGCGGCGAGGGAGTTGTAGAGAATGGGTTCTTGCGACTTTCTCGTTCTCGCTATGTAATTGCGCCGCGCCCTAGCAAGCTTGCTAGCTGTGCAAGGCAGCCTCGAGCCCAGAGTCTTAAAGACGGAGGCAGAGGATAGACTGAAAACTTACGTAGCTCACGGGACGCACTGGAGCTCACGAGATGATGTCTTCAGCCTGCTCGTGTGCTTCGTTGGCGGTCGTAGCGATAGCATGCGTCGTCTTGCCCGGCGATGGCTTTGTTGCGAGATCGCCAGCACCGCTCATGAGGCAAGCCTCCCGGCACGTGCCAGCCGGGCGAAGTAGATTAACGACAGCCGCCGCATCGGGCCGAAGAACGACGAAGATGGCTGGCGATCTCGATGTGAGTCTTTTTCTCTACCTCTGCGTGGATTGTGAGGATATTGGCGGCAGCCCGGTTTATGTCGTGTTACCGCTGTATCCGTCTTGCAGGTTTTGGCTTCGGTTGGGGTTTTGCTGTGAAGAGTCAACAGCAGCCCTGGGTGCTGTTGTGCTGTTCCTGGGTGCTGTTACCACCTACTACTGCTGTACGCTGCCGATGGACGAGCGAAGTCCTAGCCGATTATCTAGCTAAACGCGAATGAGACCCCACCAAACACTGCTGTTGTGCGCATCTCGTTAAAGCCATGGCTACGCTGTGTCCAACGCCACGTCGTCAAGCACAGCTTTGTTGCATGCTACTGCTGCGGTACACTGCTGTTACCGACCAAGCAAGATACATGTTGTAAGTAGTTCGGAGAATGGTTGAATTGTTGCGGGCCGGCCGTTGTCGTTAATCTTGCTTCCAGTAACCACTGCTCAACACTTCCGTATGCACGATCTCTCTACTGCCACTGCCAGGAAACGAAAGGAGTCACCGTGGACCTAGCGGAATACAAGGGTGGGGCGGTTACTGTGCGGGTGCCGCTCATCGAGATCACCGAAGCGCAGGCAAGAGCAGAAGAACAGACACCGTGCACGACGATTGTTGCAATGTTTCCCTTCCTTTAGCCCACACTACTTTTCGTTAGAAGCAGGCTGAAGACTTGACTGTTGGTGCTGCTGCACGTGCTATGCACCGCAGGCAGAGTTTATCTCCCGTGAAACGATGGGTGTGTGGGGATTCGTATAGGCAACTCTAAGCGACTCTTCTTCATGCCCATACGTCGCACCTATGTACGTTTTCGTCCTCCGTATTCTGAGTATGCGTTTGCTTTTCCGACGGGATACGGTGTTGGGTGTACATGTACTCCATAGTCTCATCTCGGTGTAGACTGCGGACTTTCCAATGATTGTCAGCTTCGTTCTGCTGTTTCTCGCATGCTACACTGACGGTATGTGACTGTGGCTTGTTGGCCCTTCTCACCACGCAGGTGGAGGCGGCCTTGCAGAAGTCGAAAAAGCCGTACAAGCTTATCCCGGTCCGGTTCGTCGAGGAGGGGGGTACGAAGATGGGCCACACGGTCATCATGAACTGGGACGCCAAGGTGCAAAGGTGTTTGCTATCTTGAAGTAATAAATCCTCGCATGTTCAATATATGGTGGTACACGTAGGCGGTGCTCACACCAGCACGGCCGATGTGCCGTGTGTTTTTCATATTAGTGCCGAAGCTTGGGTACAATGTTTACAAGCTGAGAGCAGCCAGTTGCAACACGCATATCAACGCCGCTTAACACAGCCGTGAGCACTTAGTGGGAATCCTGAACGGGAAGTCGAGAAGAGTTTGTTTTGCCCACCAACGGTTTGTAGGCATCCATAAACACAAGCCTGTCCCTCCCCCGACCCAGCTCCGTTGCTCCTGCTGCTTTGCACTTCATCATTATTTCCCGGCCTTCGGACGTGCCACCCTCATTATTGCTCTTTGCAACATCTTCTTGTGTTCCCAACAATCTTTCCTTTGTTTCGCGGCGGCTTGTTTGCATGTCTTTTTTCGCGTTGGCGTCGACGTGAACCACCTGACTGTCCAAGGTCGACGGCCGGCCCGTCCCTGGCGCTAAGAAGGAGAACTTCGAGCTAGAATTCAAGGTGAGAGGGTGATCACCACGACGAGATTTTGTCTGCAGTGCTAATATACTGTGCGAGTTCTCGCCTACCCCATCCTATCCTACGCATGTACGACTTGGCGCGGCGTGTTCGCACAGACCTTATCGGGACAAAACACAACAGCTGGAAAGGTTCATGTGCCCACGTGTGTGGGTGTACCGTGCTCCAAAGAATCCCGAACGCAACACATACACGTGATACCGCCGCGCGTTCGATGTCAGGTAGCTGTCACCATGCCTCTAATGGCGGCACTATTTAGATGTATCAAGGCCACAGCGTTCTAAATGAACGAAGATGTAGCACACAACACGCGAAAATGACGTATTTTTGGCCTCGTTGTGGCCGTGTCGCGCTCGGATCGTGTTGTCTCCGCGGCGTGACGGGAAAAAAACAGGAGGGACACCCCGAGCCGTGGGCAACGTTTGCGACGAAAATGGCCGTCGGTATGGGACAAATGGAGACCAAGGTCTTCCCGGCAACCTTCCCGGAAGACTTCGAGGTACGGACAAACGGGACAGGATTGATAGCCATGGCGGTGTTCTTGCGACCGATGCAATTCTGACGGAAAGTCGTCCTAAAAGGGAAGCGGTTTGTGTTGGTTGCTGGTGGAAGTAGGCGCTGATATAAGTATGGAGTCTTAGCACTGCTGTGTCGTAAATTCAGGCACTTGATACCCCACGCGACACCACTGGCGCTTTTCGACATGCCACAGGGGCCACTGCTTCCTCCACCTTGATTTAACCACGCCTTTGAGCAGTACACGTGCGACCTTCAGCTCTCGATGGGCTGCATCGGTATGAACGCGTGCTTGCCGGCTTTCCAAATGTTTGTGTATGTGCGTCGTTCGTTATTGGCCCGCGATGGAGTTCACGTCGCCACAGATATCGTGCGTCGTATTGTCACCATTGCACATGTAGCTGTAGATATCTACTGTTGAGACTGAAGTTGCTTGTCATCTTCACATCTTGTCACCTTCACACGTCAGATGTTGCGGTCTTTTTATGCGGTACATATGCTGTCCGCCAAAGTATCCCGAGCAAGCGTGTGTGCTTCCCCGTGCGCGACAAATCCTCTTGCTCTGTTTCGTTCGCGCTGAGAGAAGATCGAGGGCTTGAGGGGCAAGCAGGCGTTGGTCCAGGCTGTGGTGAAGAACATCGCCAGGAAGGAGGTCAAGGTAAGTAACAATATCAAAACACATGTACGTACACGTGATTGTTTGTTTTCCCCTTTGGAAGAAGCATGGCTTGCTAAATAGAACCCCCTTCTTTTTGTTCGGTAGAGTGACTGCACAACAGGGGGCCCGAGGTGACCACAAAATGAGGGGTTGCAGCGGAGAGCCTCGCCCCCACGCTGCACCTGTTGCACGACTTTCCCGTAGATCTTCGTAGATACTCCAACATGCAGATTCCCTTGTTCCAAACATGCAAAAGCGAGGCCAAAGTGAACATGCAACAGAGTAAAGGTTTTCCACCGATCAAGACACCCCTTGTACCCAATCACCGAAAACGAAGGAACCCGAGACCAGGAGCGACGACGAGGTCAGGGCCGCTCTGCGGGTGAAGGGGGAGCAGACCGTGAAGGTGAGCCAGCTGGCAAACATCATGGAACGATTTTAGCTTTGGCTTGCTCGTTGTCAACCGGCAGCGTGCATGGTGATGCTCACCGACTTCATGGCAGTTGTAGGGGCGGGCATTTTTTCACAAGGGTGGGTGGGAAAACCCGATGCTGTACCGATGGTCAAGTGCAAGCAGTTCGGGCACCGGCCGGGAGAAACACGCACAGCATGTTCATCGTGAAGCGGGCAGTGGGGCATGGCTGTACCAGCGAGATCCATCCCACAGATCTATTCTCAGGCGGGTTTGCTTGGATAAAATTACTGAAGAGATATTTTAGATACTTCAGTCTGTGCCGGCGTCGTCGGTATTGATCTTTAGCACGAAAACCATCCGAGTCCCCTCGAACGGCTGTCGCTGTGCAAGGTGGTGGCCTCGATGTTTTGTCGCATCGAATGAGAGTTGGACCATCGGGAATCGGTCCCGCCGTGCCTTCCGGGATTCGCACTGATGGCCGCTGCGGTTGTGTAGCACCATGCCAATCCATAGAATCAATTTAGTGGTGTCCAGAGGCAATGATGGGCATAGCGGCACGCTCGCGCGTCAGGTCTCTCATGCCACTGGTGTCTCGTAGAAGACCGGGACACGGCATTTCGTGGTTGAGATTGTTCGTTGCTGGTATGTATCAGACACCCAGCCCATCGTCAACCCCCCCGCCCGCCACTCGCTGGACATCAACTACCATTTTCTGCCGATCCCGCATGTGCGACATGAAATGGCGTGACAACAACTATTGCTCTCTGATAATACTGTATGTTCCGTTTGGTTTCTGAACTGTCGACGACAGAACCGCACCGACAAGGCCGTGGACGAGGCTGTGAAGAAGTTCCTCCTGAGTTCTTGCAACGTCAACGCCGATAAGGTATCTTCGTGCTAATGGCTGCAGTATCTATGCTTTGGTTTGGATTGGCAAGCGGCGTGTTTGATTTCTTAGCAACGAGCACGCGCGTGAGCAGGGCCGCAAGTAGGGCAGTAGGTGATGTTGGGTTTTTGTCTGCTTTTCCTGCGTTTGTCATGAACCTCAGACCCCATTTCGTTCACCCAGACGCATCGTTGGCGCCTTGCTTGTATGTAGGCAACGCGTGATCGCCACAGCTTGCCCATCAATCCGACTGCTGCACACATGCGAGAAAAACGTGTTGAGTGTTTCAACGGACCCTTGAGGCATATACCGAAAGTATGAAGTAATGCATATATATAATCATACTCGGAATTATTCTTACTCGGAATATGTTATCAGAGAGCTGTACACTATATAACACCAGCTGATCCCCCCCCCCACCCCCCCGAATGCGGATGCCCCTCTCGCAGGTCTTGAACGCTGTGTCGTGGGCGAAGTTCGGGGAGCAATCGACACTAGACTTCAAGTGGAACTGTATCAAGGAGAAGATCGCTGTTGCTGAGGGCATCGAGCCTCGCGCAGTGGTGGAGTTCCTGCGAGATGAAGCCGAAGTGATTCTCATGGAGAAGTAAAGCCAAGCACTTTTTGCAAACGATACACAGGGTCGTATTGCGTGCCGCTTCCTCTTCGCTACTATTCTCGGAATTGGAGCCCACCTTTTTTGTGCACTCCAAAGGCCTCCTGTGTCACCCACGAGGATTGTTCGTTCTGGCATTCTCCCAAACGGCTTGTTTCTTGAGATGGCATCGTTTTGGCACCCGGCGAACACCTCGTTTGCGGGGGGGGTGCTGCTATGGATTTCGGTAGTACGCGTAGACCCTGTCCGGTTTAGAAAGTCATGACACGCGGCATTGTAGAGTGGTCGAGAGGTCTCGTCAGCTCCTACGGAGGAGGACAATTTTGAGTGTTTTGGACCGAGCCCTAGCTGATCCAGCTGGGATTTTGATCTGTATGTTCTCGGTACCTCATAGAAGAAGAAGAAAAAGAGCAGATGGAAAATTTACAAACGTTTCGCTGGTGGCCAAAGGGGCAGGTTGGGCACCAACCACAACCTGGGGGGGGGGAGGTCGGGAGGCCGAGTTCGACCTTGAACCCATTTTTTCTTCAGGCTTGCAGCCCACCGTGTTGATTTTGGAACAGCGCCACTATCCAAGATGCGGGATAACTTGCAAACTTTGGGCTGCAACCTCCCTGCAACCTCCCCCCCCCAGGTTGCAGTCGGTGCCCCAACCTACCCATAACCTGCTTCTGGCCACCAGTGTTGTGACAGACTTGCGTAGCACGTTCGTTCTTCGCTGTAGTCGCGAATCTACATAACTTGCACTGAATAGAGAGCGGGTCATCCTCTGCACCCGACTTAAAACCTGTGGCGATGAGGGCTATAAGACAGTAAAAACAGCAGTTTCGTGGTGAGAGACGCCGCACAACGTTTGTTTGTTTGTCCGCGGGGGGCGTTTTCGAGCTGCGTTCGTTCGTGCGCTCATCAGAAGTACAAAACAAGCAATATCAACCGCTTTTTTTTCTGGAAAAGACCAGTCGCCAGGCCCGGCGCGTTGAGTGCGATTGCCTGTTTGTGCACGTCAAGCACCATCAATTTTACAGCAGTACATGCAGCTATACTGCTGTATACTACTATTTTTTTCTTTGGACAAGTCATATACACACGAATGGATGGAAGTCCTACATATCTTCGCGCAACTAGATACGTAGATGCAGTTGTGGCGGGTAGAGACCGCGATTTCGTGGGCACGCAATACATGCTCGCTTTCCATAGCAAACTCTTCAAAAAACACCTCCGAATGTCGACGATCTGAATGTCTGACACGACGACACGACCTTGGTGTCCAGATGTGGCATTCAACTGCTAGTGAACCGTAATCCATTTGGCATGAACACCCGGGGGGACTAAAAAAATATGGGGTCTCAACAGACGGCGTTCATTGCGTCAGGGCCCTTCAGGGTGCTGGGCCCCTACTGAAAATCGTACGTCACCGCGCGTAGCCTCGGGTCGCAGCAGCAGTAGTCCAACACTTCTTCCTACCTCGTCACTCGATACTCTCCACCATCACAACTATGACGATGTCTGGGCGAACGAGGAGCTGCCTGTCGGCGGTGATCATGCTGCTCGCGGCGGCAATGCAGGTGCGCCCCTTTCGGGAGATCAGCTCAGCTCCTCGAGTGCGTTGCGTCTGTCTGTCTGCTGGATGAACGTAGAGAGCGGGGGGCAGGAGCGACAGCAGGATGTAAGAGAGGATCTACGATGGATACCTCTCCCAGCGCGGGACCCATGCAGCCTGTGCCCCGTGCACACGCATTGGTTTACATGCGGTGGTCAGCCCGCCCTTGCTCAGCATGGCTTTCATCTGCTCTTGACGTTTTTTGCTTCCTCGACCTTCACCATGCGTCACCCGGCGCAATCGCACGGGACTCATGATGTTATTACTCCCTCCCCCACGCCTGTCCTGTCTTGGTTGCCCTCCTGCGTTCGTGCGTGGACAGACGGAAGCGTTCGTGGCGGGCCCAGTGATGGCAGGGAGGAGGACCGCGGTATCCATGTCGAGCTTGAATGAGGTGAGTTTTACGAATTGATGGCAACAAAAAGCGCCCGCGCGTGCCCATTTTTTAGGAACGAACGATTCGGCACCAGCTGTTAGCTGTTTGACCAGTCCAGCTTTGGGCGTTTCCTTTTTTTGGTGCCACGTACAGTAGAGAGGCGCTTCTATCTGGGTCCACGGACGCGTGTTGTTTTTTTGCCTTTGCTGTGCACTTGTTTGCGGCTGCTCTCGGGACTTGTGTGTCATGAGAACGCGCATGCTCTTGTATATTTGTCATGAGCTACATGTATATATGTATTCCCGCAAGCTGACGTATTTGACGAAAGTGTGTGCGTGTCCTCCGCACACTCATGTTCGTAAAACACGCGACGTATTTTATGAGGAAAAATAAGTACACACACAGAAAGACTACCCGTTCGAGATATACCCACAGCAGTCGAGAATTAAACCGTCTGTTGGCTTTTTGGTAACATGTGCATACGTTGGTGTCGTTGTGCACACATACGCACGCATGTAGATAGTGTACGCAGCCGGCGTGGATGTTCAAGTATTCGCCGTTGTTTACGACGTACGGCGCAGGGCCGACGTCACACATTTAGGGTGTGCGGGTGGGTTCTAGCGTTGGCTCATGAAGCACCTTGTCTGTGGATGTATGCGTAGAGATGATGAATTCGTGTTTCTGCAACAACCAATGATCCACAGGCTTTTTCTATTTACTGCAGTAATTGCGCAAGCAGTAGTTGCCATGCGTGCACTCAGCAGGCGCCTAGAAAGCGGGCGGCTTGAAAGCTGTGGTATAAAAACGTATTTCGCGTTGATTGTGTCGTTCTCTGCCGGCGAAATGCACCAAACCGAGATGCCGGACAGGTAGCAGTCTACTCAGCGGTTGACTCGAGACCTTGTTGATTTTGATTATCGAGTGACACTTGCATATGAGGCAAAGAGGCCCCCGCGCGTATCATGTCCACCATACACATATCATCCACGTAACCCCCCGAAGCCCCGTAGATCAGTACCCTGCTGAGAACCCCAACAGCCCCCCTGTTCGATACGAGATCTACGATCTACGACACCTTCCTTGCGGACTCTGCCAGGTAAAACGGCAGAGAAACCGAAAACCCCAAGTCATCAACAAACCATCCACCATTCCAATTCAAACAACTCTGTCGAAATGCACTACGAAATCGCCGGATCTTCCAATAGAACACGTCGTGCAAAGCTCTCAAATCCATGATGTTCATACGTTCATACTATGCAATGTCTGCCAATGAACAAGTTACCCTCTTGAGAAAAATGCTCTACGAAATTCTCAAGAAGTCAAAACACAAGTCAACACAATCAATCACCCTTGAATAGCCGCCAACGATGAACATGACATCAGAATCACGTCAGAACGAGTACCCCCGGGAAAACGTGTCCTATCGTCCTGACTACTCAGAACAAGTTCCTCAGATAAGCATCATGTTTCAATCATGGACCAGTTCAAATAACCTTCGGAAGCTCAAAGGCCTCAACAGGAAATAACGAGACGAGAACATGCCAAACCCTTCCTCCAAGACCCAATACCTTAGAAAATAGACCGGTCTAACAGCTCCCGTGCTGTAACATGCATCCTGAACATGCAACCAGTCTTGTTCTTGCTGTGTTGCACAACTCCCGGCGGTTTCCTTTTGTGCATGTTTTCCCGTGGTTGCTGAGAGGTGTCATTCCTCTTCGTCGCCACTGCAAACTTTTTTTTCCCGATCGCGTTGCTTGTTCCAATCCCTGAATCGGAGCCAAGCTGCCACTTTTTTCTCTGTACGTGAGAGCAGGCAATGCGCCTTTTGCAACGTTGCCGGCCGGCGCTCCCACCACCCAACGAAACGAGAAAAACGCCTTGCCGCACACAAACCCTCTCGATGCAGGTTCATGCAGCGGTGGTTTCTGGTCTCTTCTTGTCCGTTTCAAGTGGACAACATCCCTGGTTGAGCATCATCCCAGACAGATTCGCAAGTTCCCACTTTCTTTTCCCTGCAGCTGTGACTTGCCCACACACGGTGTAGAACCGTTTGGCAGTACTCTTGAAAATGATACAGCTACAACGGCAGTAGTGTGTTGTGTCACCCCTAGAGGTATGCGTGGTACCTCTGCGGTCGATGGTGGCGGCATTTTCTTGCTCCGACGTCGTACGTCCTGCACGGCAGAAATACTGATTGTGTGGGTGTGACCGCTCATTTAAAGTAATTGGAAAAAAATAAAAGAGCACCAGCCTCGAATGCTTCGCCCTCCGGTCTCCTTGTTCCCTTTCGGTTCAACGGAAATACTTTCTACGCGCGCCCGAGTGGCAGGCGGGATCCTGGCACTCTTCCGACCTATTGGCCCGCTCACGTTGTAGATGCGACCTAGAGCACCTCTCTCCCACCTAGAACACTGTTTCCCAGCCAGGTTGTTGTTTTTTGTGTGTCACAAAGTCTCCAATCTTGCCCCCCTTCCCCCGATACATGTACATCTGCGACAGTTGCAGGAGGCGCCTTGGGCCCAGCCGACGCCTGTTGTCGTTGGACGTCACAATGATTCTTCTCAAACCCTCTTTCCCTGCCCCGATACTACTGCTGCACTTGTACTTGTACGATAATTGCAGGAGGCGTCTTCCGCCCAGCCGGCACGGTCTTCTCGGTGGGGAGCCTCCTCCTCTCGCCCAGTCGGCGACGGTTTCGAGCTCAGCGTCGCGGAGAAGTCGTTCACGGAAATGCTTAGGGAGAAGTGAGTGGAGTGGAGATGTCGACGGTCGTTTTCCATGCTCGTTGGTTTGGGGGGAACGCACCCCGGTGTGATTGTTGTTGGTTGGTGTTTGGCTGAATATTCTTGTTGGTGGGCAATGTCTTTTAATATTGTTGTTGCGCTTGAGGGTCTGCTCAGTACCTCCCCACACCCGGCCCAACTGACACGGACGCCTTCCATGGACTATCCACAAAAAGGGTGTGCACTTATACTCCGGGTATGTAAAATAAAACCAAAGAGGACCCAGGAAATCATCACAGACGCATGCAGGACGAGAATTTTTGCGAGGCGTACGTACGCGTGCGTTGCCAGCGAGTTCAAACTACAAGCCGTTGATTTTTGTCTCACAGACGAATGATTTCATCAGATGCTCATTGGTGGATTGGGCACTGAGCCACCAAGTGCAGTATTTTTTGGGTGGTCGCTGAAAACCGGATCCGGAAAAGTCCCCAAAATGCCGCGGCGGTCCTTGGACGAGCCGAGGTACTGCTGTCCGAATGGGTGGGAATGCACAGCTTTCAACCTTCCACACCTTGTGTGTTCATCTCGGCCAGTGGATTTTATGGCGTTCCAAACCCCCCTTTTTTTCCCGGAGTCAAGTTAGTCGCTAAACGACAGAAAGACCGTAACTTTATTGTACTCTCGTGTACGCTTTGTATCGTGGGTTACCTTACACGTTGCTCTGAATACTGTTTTTTTTTTTTATGTTTTGGGGGTTGGTCGCTGCACCAGGTATTTGTTGTTTTCCTTGACCAACCTCCCTCGGCTGCTTGCTGCTCTCGTTCCGGTTGGTCCGCTTGCGCCCCCAGGAAAGCGAAGGGGTCTTTCTTCGCCCCTTCCTCAGAGGCAGCCGCCAACGCCGACGAGGTCGCCGCCTCCGCCGCCGCCGAAGCCGTAGAAGCGGCCGCCGCTGCCGCCGCCGCAGCCGAAGCCACCCACCAAGCCAACCTGGAGAGGCAGAAGCTGGCGTTCGACGACGAGGCCAAGCCCTTCGTGGCGCCAGGGAGCGCATCCACCCCCAGCGTTTCCACCCCGGGAAGCGTTACCCCTCCCGGAGGCGTCTCTAACCCGGCCGCCGTGTCTACCCCCAGGGTGACCGACCCCGCCAGCGTTGGCCGCCCCAGCGCCCCCGCGGCGCCACCCGCCGCCCCCGTCAGCAGCCCGGCTGCCCCTAGGGTAACCGACCCGGCCAGCATTGGCCGCCCGGCCGCCCCGGCTCCCCCCGCTGCTGCTGCTGCCCCCGTCAGCACCCCGGCCGCTCCCAGGGTGACCGACCCCGCCACTCTCGCCGCCAAGGCAGCAGCCCCCGTGGCTCCCCCCGCCGCCCCCGTCAGCAGCCCGGCTGCTGCTGCCCCCGCAGCCGGCGCCGGAAAGAAGTGGGAGCCCAGGCCCGACTGGAAGTCTTCCGCTGGTTCCGCCGCCCCATCGAGACCGGCTGTTTCGAGGCCCGCCGCCGCGGCGGCTGTTTCGAGGCCCGCGTCTGGCGGCCCGGCTAAGGCTACCTTCAACCCCAAGGCGGACGCTCCCTGGAAGGCCTCGGGGGGCGGGGCTCCGGCCGCCCCCGCCTACGCGCCGCCCGCCGCGGCTGCCCCGGCGTACGCACCCCCGGCAGCAGCTGCCCCGGCCTACAGCCCCCCAGCGGCGGCGCCTAAGGCGGTAAGATGCTGTGCGCAGCAAGTCGGCGTTATTATTTTTTCTGAGTATTGACGGGAAAAAGACACTTGTTGTAGCAGTGCTGCCGGGACATTTCATGGGGAAGGAACCTCAACGTCGTTCGTGGCGATTGGCTAGTTGCGTGTGTGTCACTATTGCAAGAGTCGCGGCCGTGTTTTGCGGTAGAGACAGTAGTGCGTCCGAAAGGTAGAAAACAAGAAAATTGCGTCCTAAGGTATCTACCGCCGTTTTGTCGAAAGCGCTCTCCACCCGGAGCACCATCCTGGAGCTGGCTCAACATTAAACGGCTGTGATTTTGAAGGAGGAACGCATGCTGTAGCGACACACACAAGACAATTTGGTCGCCCTTTTAGTTCTGTGGATCACGCTTTGGTCGTGTTTGGGCAGTCCCATCTCATTCCTTCGTCCCCCTTTCCGTCGCTTCTTTTGTTCTGAAAGGCGGACGAGAAGCACATCGGCACCGGCGGCATGGCAGACACCCGCGACCCCGACGCCTTGGACCACGAGGACCCCCGCAAGTCCATCTCCGCCGCGCCTTCGTTCGCGGAATACCTCAAGTCCAAGCAGAACTAGAGGAAGTAGGTTATCCGCGCGAGACGTGCGCTCGCTTTCGAGCGTGCGGAGCTTGACCTGGGTCCGTCAGCAGACGGGTGATGGCGATCTGGGCTTGGCTTTGAAGCGGGTTGCTGTCTTCTGTTCGGTTTCGTGTTCGTTGGGTGGCGGCATGGGAGGCGGTGCGAAGTTTCTAGAGAGACGGGCACGCAGGCACTACAACGCCACGCGCGCTGCTGCAGAAAGACGAGCCTCAAGGCAGCGTGTGAGGCGACGGGGGTTGGTTGTACATTTTTTGCGGTTCGCGGGGAGCGCTGGGCTCGGTCGATAGCGTGGTTGACCTGGTCCGGGCACATTTGCGGGACGAATGGATGTGTCGTGAGTCGTTGAATCCCACGAACAAGTGTCGAAGAAGCCGGTGACAGCGTCGCGTGCCGCTGGGCGAAATTAGGATGTGTTTTTGATAGATTTGAGACATCTATCGAAATTTAGATAGAGGTGGTACAACTTCTTTTGTGTTTTCATGCAACGCTGTGTTCGTTTTTTATATCCCCTTTTCTGCCGCTCCTCAACTGCTGCTGCTGTGCGACAACGTGAGGGAAAAACCTTGGTACAATGGAGTCCTTCCTTGTCTCTTGTTCTTTGCTCCGAGTTGGGGTGCGGCGACACCCGTCGTGGTGTTTGATATCGCCAGTCATCAAGTCGGAAAAACAATGACTGGATGTCGGCCGGATGATGTGGCAGAAGGGTCGTTACGGCTTACCAATTTTGTAAAGGGCTGGGAGTGTTGGGATAAGATTCATCCTGTTTGGGCTGGTACCAGGTGTTTGATTGAGGGGGGTAACGAGGTACCTGCCCTTCCCTTGTGGTCGAATTACGCCGAGGAGCAGCCAGATAAGCAAAAGCATGTTTTGTTTCGGTAACGAAAGGCGGCATTCAGTCGCGGGGGATGACATTGGGTGGGAAATTCTGATGGCCCCTCTCGGAGGTTGTACAGCAGTAGAATACGTAATGGAAACATCTATCTATGCATACCACTGGAGCCTGATGCTATCGGAGGAACGCTAGCCTAACCGGAACGGAAGAAAGGACGTCGTCACAAAATGTTTGGCGAATGCTCCTTTTGGCCGCTCACTAGAAAATGCTAGGTAGAGATAGGGGGTACCTCGCACAGCAGTTCTTCGCGATCTTTTCAGATATAAGACCGTTGTCACGCTCATGACCGTAGTAAGGTCATTAAACGGTTACAATATACACCATCCATGCGTTACAAATATAACGCGACGCTTGGAACCGGGCTTAAGAGATATGTTCTTGCACCTCGTGAACGTGTTGCATCCGATCGTCCGGGACGTGATGACGCGAGACTCCCTCTCAGCCTTGAGACAAAACCGAGCCACCGGAGCCGTCATTTGTAGGTGTTGGCACATCGGACAGTACGCAGTGCTGCGAGCAGTGTTCACGACCGTAGGAGCCGCTTGTGTCAGCATTTCTTGCGGTCGGTGTCGCTCGACTTGTCAGGACGACCCTTTCGTGTACAAAACAACAGCAGTTGTAGTAGAGATAACAGATGACACCACCCGCCCTACCGTCACTGGAGCAAGTTTTGTCTGTTCCCAAGCTCTAGCTTGGGTCTCATTCGATCAAAAGTCTTTTTTTTCCGTCTGTGGAGTTTTCAGTAGCATAGCGGACCCTTTGCCCGACCGGGTCGAAAAGGCCGATCTCAGCCCACACTGCGAACCTCCGAGAACTACCAGCAGTTCTGGGTAGCTGAGACGATTTCAAGACCTCTCACAGTCGTTTGAGCAGCCATCGCTTGCTGTGGGGCGATAACCAGTTTCTCCGTCGACAAGAAGATCTGCGTTACATCGTCACATCGGAACGACCAGATTGGTTGACTTGTCGTTGAGGGTCCTCTTTTTATAGATCTTTTTGTATAAGAGTCGTCTTCATTTTTTTCGCCGCCCGCGCCAAGCCTTCTTTTTTACAGATCTTTTTATATAGAGTCGTCTTCTTTTTTTCGCCGCCCGCGCCAAGCCTTGCTTGCTGGCCACGCTTCTCTCGTGTCCCGCGCCAAGCCTTGCTTGCTGGCCACGCTTCTCTCGAGATGCTGACCGACCTCAGCACACAGCTGGACATTCTGTTGTTGCAGGTTTTTGCATGGCTCTTTTGTGGTGCGAAAATTAGCATTTATTGTTGTTGTTGATGTGCGGACGAGAGGACGAGAGTGGTAGGCGAAAGCAGTACGTACCTGCAAATCTCCGGCAACTACCAGCAGTTCTGGGTAGCTGAGACGATTTCAAGACCTCTCACAGTCGTTTGAGCAGCTATCGCTCGCTGTGGGGCGATAACCAGTTTCTCCGTCGACAAAAGGATCTCATTGGAATGACCAGATTAATGTTTAATTGATGACCTGTCGTGGAGGGTCCTCTTTTTATAGAGTCGTCTTCTTTTTTTTCGCTGCCCCGCGCCACGCTTCTCTCGAGATGCTGTTTTCTTTACTTGTGGTCCACGCTGCCTACTAGTGGGAGAGGTAGCCATACCTTCAGCCTACACACGGGCGAGATAGGTAGCCATACCCACTACATTTAACACACACCCACATGTCGGAGATGAAACCTCAACCACATGCCTCTATCGGCTACCACGTCAGGAGACAATGAAGAAAAATTGTTCTCCCGTGACATTTGCAGATCTAACAGCACAGAATTACACGAAATTACACAAAAAGGTAAGAAAATGGTGAAACTGTCTTGTTGAGCCTGTTACCCGCAGGGGAGATGTCCCTATATGCTGTCTGGGAAATCGTAGACATACAGGTACTTTCTGACGTTATGAATCCATTGCTAATCTGTCTCAGACTCTTTTCTATGATAGAGATGGTTTCGTTGTGTCATATTAAGAAAAATATAAAAAAAATGGTGAGACCACGCCCGTGTGTCCGCACATAGTCCGAAATGTATCCACACATACATATACATACCCGGTACATACGCGTACCACATTGAAAATACGTTTGAAAACTGAGGGAGATTGCATGCCCTACGATTAAAAGGGTGTCACACACAAAACGCCCGACCAGTACCTAACACATATCATCTGCACCTTCCCAACATAACATATATGAGACACACAAGACACCTACCAAACTGTGTTGTTGAGCCTGTTACCCGCAGGGGAGATGTCCCTATATGCTGTCTGGGAAATCGTAGACATACAGGTACTTTCTGACGCTATGAATCCATTGCTGATCTGTCTCAGACTCTTTTCTATGATAGAGATGGTTTCGTTGTGTCATATTAAGAATAAAAAAAAAAAACATCCTGTCGTTAGGCCACTTGTTAAGCTATCGTTTTTTGGGCTGTCCCTA